AACCTAAGTGTCCCTCAACTGATGAGTGGATAATGAAAATGTGGTTCATTTATACAATGGAGTTTTTTACTCAGCAGTAAAGAAAGATGAAATCATGAAATTTGCAGGTAAATGGATGGAACTAGAAACTGTTATACTAAGTGAAGTAACACAATCTCAGAAAAAAAAACGACATATGTTCTCCCTCATATGTGGATCCTAGGATCAGACTCTGAGAAATAAGTATGCAAACAGATATAACTGTAGGAACCAGGACAAGGTTAAGGAAACAGTGAGGTAAAGGAAAAGAAATAACCTGAAGGAGAAGAATAGTATGTAACAGGCCTTAATAAGGGAGATATTCATAAAAATTGGGTTCGTTTAAGGGAGGGGGAGGGAAGGGCATATGAGGAACCTAGGGGATAAGGAGAAAGAAGAAGCTCAACAGAGGTAGGATCACAGGAGCAAGTGTTTTAGTAAGGAGGAAAGGGGGGAATTGGGTGCACCTTAAGTGGGACAACCGTGATAGAGGGGGAAGACGGTACAAGAGAAAAACAATGCCTAGCTAGTCATGAAAACCAGAGGGAACCATATTATTCCTACAATCTCCTGAAAAATTATACATAACCGATGAAGAAATATATCTATAGATAAGGTTTATTTGAGACCAACTGGTCATTACCCAAGATTTATCTGCAGGACACACAGTAATTAAAAATGCTAGAATGGTGGAACTAACCTTCTTGGATGTTTAATAGACATACCTTGGGATCTATACTAATTGGGTCAGAGGGATACAAAGGGCGCTTTTTGCTCCTTGCCCTCCTGGGTCGATTAGTTCCCAGGGACTATGAGCATCTCACAAAATGTCCTGTAATGGTGGTGGGTCATCTGACCTCTTGATCAAGGAGGCCAAGGAGACCCGACCAGATGGACTTGAACCAGTGTCCAGTGTATAAAGAGGAGGGTCAACACGGAGGAATCATTTCCTCCATGCTTCCAAGAGAAGCCAACAATGGTC